TTAAAAAAAACCTCTGTCACTTGGTGTCTCTCTTGAGAATTACCAACATTTTTTTTGTCAAAGTTTTTAATGTGAGGATGCTCCTGTTTCCTGTTCTTCAATGGCAGACAGAGCAGAGCTGTAATGTTGCAGATGTGGAGTTAGCACTGTAATGCAGCAAATAGGGAGTTAGTGCTGCAATGTTGCATATATGGAGTTAGCACTGTAATGCAGCAGATAGGGAGTTAGTGCTGTAATGCAGCAGGTAGGGAGTTAGTGCTGTAATACAGCAGATAGGGAGTTAGTGCTGCAACGTTGCAGATATGGAGTTAGCACTGTAATGTTGCAGATATGGAGTTAGCACTGTAATGCAGCAGATAGGGAGTTAGTGCTGTAATGCAGCAGATAGGGAGTTAGTACTGCAATGGACCAGATAGGGAGTTAGTGCTGTAATGCAGCAGATAAGGAGTTAGTATGCAATGCAGTAGATAGAAAGTAAGTGCTGTAATGCAGCAAATAGGGAGTTAGTACTGTAATGCAACAGATAGGGAGTTAGCGCAGTAATGCAGCAGATAGGGAGTTAGTGCTCTAATTCAGCAGATAGTGAGTTAGTACTGCAATGCAGCAGATAGAAAGTAAGTGCTGTAATGCAGCAGGTAGGGAGTTAGTACTGTAATGCAACTGATAGGGAGTTAGTGCAGGAATGCAGCAGATAGGGAGTTATTGCTATAATGCAGCAGATAGGATGATAGTACTGCAATTCAGCAGATAGGGAGTTAGTGCTGCAATGCAGCAGATAGGGAGTTAGTGCTGTAATGCAGCAGATAGGATGATAGGACTGCAATTCTGCAGATAGGGAGTTAGTGCTGTAATGTTGCAGATATGCAGTTAGCACTGTAATGGAGCAGATAGGGAGTTAGTGCTGTAATGCAGCAGATAGGGAGTTAGTGCTGTAATGTTGCAGATATGGAGTTAGCACTGTAATGCAGCAGATAGGGAGTTAGTGCCGTAATGCAGCAGATAGGGAGTTAGTGCTGTAATGCAGCAGATAGAGAGTTAGTGCTGTAATACAGCAGATAGAGAGTTAGTGCTGCAATGTTGCAGATATGGAGTTAGCACTGTAATGCAGCAGATAGGGAGTTAATGCTGTAATGCAGCAGATAGGGAGTTAGTGCTGTAATACAGCAGATAGGGAGTTAGTGCTATAATGCAGCAGATAGGATGATAGTACTGCAATTCAGCAGATAGGGAGTTAGTGCTGCAATGCAGCAGATAGGGAGTTAGTGCTGCAATGCAGCAGATAGGGAGTTAGTGCTGTAATGCAGCAGTTAGGATGATAGTACTGCAATTCTGCAGATAGGGAGTTAGTGCTATAATGTTGCAGATATGGAGTTAGCACTGTAATGCAGCAGGTAGGGAGTTAGTGCTGTAATGCAGCAGATTGGGAATTAGTACTGTAATGCAGCAAATAGGGAGTTAGTGCTGTAATACATCAGATGGGGAGTTAGTGCTATAATGCAGCAGATAGGGAGTTCGTGCTGTCATGCAGCAGATAGGGAGTTAGTACTGCAATGCAGCAGATAGAACATAAGTGCTGTAATGCAGCAGATAGGGAGTTAGTAGTGTAATGCAACAGAAAGGCAGTTAGCACAGTAATGCATCAGATAGGGAGTTACTACTGCAATGCACCAGATAGGGAGTCAGTACTGTAATGCAGCATATAGGGAGTTAGTGCTGCAGTGCAGCATATGGGGAGTTAGTGCTGCGATGCAGCTGATAGTGAGTCAGTGCTGTAATGCAGCAGGTAGGGAGTTAGTGCTGTAATGCAGCAGATAGGG